CTGCCTGCCCTGCCTGGCGCCTCAGCGTGCCTGCGGTTGCAGGATCAAGCCACGGATGGTCGTAGCACCCATCCCTGTGCTCAGCACCCTCTTGCGAGAGTGACCGCCCAACCCACAAAACAGAGAAGAGGAAGCTCTGAGTTGGCAGGGGCCATGCAGTGGTGACAGTGGGTTGAAGGGGTCTTGTGCCTCAGTTTCCCCACTCTTAGACCAGCCCCAATGAGGTGATGCGTTCCCAAAGCTGCCCCAGTTGCCACATCGGGTTTTGCTGGTTTCTAAGCCACCTCTGGCCCTTCCAGCTGGGTGGCTGCTCCTGCTTGCCGAGTCTCTGCCCGGGCAGCCAGGCACTGCTGCCCTGGCTCTGCTCCACCACCCCCACCTCTGACCCACCATGGGCAGAACCAGCAGACTGTAACTGAGCTGTCTCAAATCCCAGGCTGGCGTGGTGTGGTGTGTCCCCCCCCGGGCTCTCCCACCCGTGTATCAGGGCACGGCGGGAATGCTTGTCTTCTTGTCGGTGGTTTCCTGGGGGAAAAAGTCAGCGGCCTCATTAGGTGGGGGCAGAAACGAGCTCTGGGGCTTCCCCAGAGACAGGGAGAGCCAAGGCACAGAGGCACTCAGTGCCTCTGCGTGGGTGAGTGGCATGGAAGCAGGAAGAGGAGCAACCGGGACTTCCAGGGAAGGGCTGAGCAGGATCAGGACAGCCAGTGGGGTCAGATGGGACCAGAATGGATAGGAAAGGGCTGGAGGGGACCAAGAGCAAAGCAGCAGAAGAAGGGATGGATGAGACTGGGAAGGGAGGGATGGAAAAGGGGAAGGCTGAACTGGGGGAGCGAGCCCTGGAGTAAAGTCCTTGGGGAGGGTCTGTCCAGCTGCTGGTGGGAAGGAGACGGGCCCCATGTGTCTGGCACACCAGCTGGCACCATGGGGACCTCCTGCTGCTGCAGCAGATTTTCTTTCCTGTGGTTTTTCTTGGAAACCCGCCTGCTTCACGCATGCAAAGCAGGGGAGTGGTGCATGGTTAGCTGCCAACAACCGATCCCAGCTCCGTCTATGGTTCTGCCGCCGGGCAGGCTGATACAGCGCAGGGCTTACCTCGAAGCGCCAGAGCCCTCCGATGTCCCCGCTCCTCTCGAAGCAGGTGGGTACCAGCCCCTCATCCAGGCATTTTTTTGGCCAGAGGCACCAGCCCCGATGATGGCTACTCGCTGGGCAGCCATGTCCTGCAGTCGGTGGTGGCAAGGATGGAAGGGAAGCCCCTTGGCCGAGGGGCAGCACGTGACTGTGGAGCCTGGTGGGTCACACTGGGGGGAACGCGCGGTGCTGCTTGGTCAAGGATGGCTGTCCCTGTGCTTCCTGTGGGTGAGCGAGGTCAGCTGCGGTGTCACAAGATGTGTTTCTTCCAGACATGATCTACAGGTTCCCCCCACTGCTGTGCCACACCTCCTGCCTGCACCCGCCCTCCGCAAGGGACTCATTAGGTTCTGTAAGCGCTTAACGATGCTGACGCTGCCCTGGGACTTCCTGGGTGCGGGGGCTGAGATGTGGCCACGCTTCAGATTTTGGGAGGTCGTGGCACGGAATATGAAACCGGAGGG